GAGGAGAAGGGCTGATCCGCCGCCGTCATGGGAAAGGTCTGGGAGGCGTGGGCGGGGCGGGGCAGGCGGGTCTGGCCAGCCGGACTTGAGATTAATGGATCTGGTCTGGGTCGAATCATCATCGCGCGATCTCAATTCTGACTGAGCACACCGGCGGCGGCGGGGGCGGAGAGCAAAAGTTTGGCATATTTATCGGCAGAGTGCAAGGCACGCCCGTCCCGGGGAAGTCCCTCCTCTCTCTACGGCTCCGCTAGAAACACGCACTTAATGCGCGCCAGCGTCGCGGCCGCCCTTGCGCTGGCGTGGAAAAAGTCACCGCACTGTGTAAAGAGGAAGGGTGGGAAGGAAACCACCGCTTGCCAACTTTTTTGCACCGCCGCGCTGCTCTGCTTTGGGGGCGATTCACCCGTTGTGAATGTCGCGGAGCGTCTAAGTGAGTCATGAGGCGCGAGGGTAGGAGGCGGGTAGGGCACAGCCTGCGTGTGATCGTCCCAAAGGGGGGAGGGGGACAGGGGGATCCGCCCCGCCCCCCGAGGGGGGCCCACGGGCCTGGCCCGGGGCGTCATGTGTTGCGCGCGGCTCGGCTCGGCTCGCCCAGCAGGGCATTCCAGCACATGTGCTCGCGCAGTGCGGTGGTGTATAGTGCGACGGGCGTGCGGGGCCGCGACGAGCAGCGTGGAGGACGGGCGAACTGCTCGACTGGAACCGGCGCACTCAAGTGATCGGAACGGGGCGGGACAGGAACGGCGCGCCAGTAGTGATCGGACGGACGTTCCGCGACGCGACGTGACCGCGGCCGCGCACACTGCAGCTGCACCGTGTGTCACGCCGGCGCATTCATACCTCGCCGCTCCCCGTGCAGGTGCGCAGCGGCCCTCCCCGCGGCCCGGCGGCGCGGCCAGGCCAGGCCGTTGCCTCGGGAGGGCGGCTCATTTCCATGTCATCTTTGCACCTCGGGACGGCCGCGGCCGCCGCGGTGCCCGCCTCCTGAGACACAACGCAGTGCGCCGCGGTGGTGGACAGAGGACTCGCCGGGCGGATGGCAGCGCGCGCGGCGAGGCTGAGCCCCGGGGAAGGACAAGCCCCTCCGGCCGCCGGCTGCGGCCCGCCGACGCGCCAGCTGCTGCATGGCTCTGCCCAGGATCGCGCCGACGCCGCCGCCGCCGGTCGCGACCTCTACCCAGGGCTCTGCCGCGGCGGCTGCGGCCCTCGGTGCGGGGGCACCCCTGGCCCTCGTCCCTACCTGGCTGCTGTCGTGCTACTTCCTCATCGTGGTCGTCGGCGGGGTCGTCGCCAACGTGCTGCTCCTGGCCACGACCGTGGGCTGGCGCTGCCGGGCGCGCGGTGCGCAGGACGGCGCCGCAGATGACCCTGGTGGCGCCAGGGACAGGGACCGCGGCTGGTGGCTGCTGCTGAGCCAGCTCGCCGCCACGGACGCGCTCACCCTGTTCCTGGTGTCCGGCGGCGAGCTGTGGTCCGTGCGCGAGACGGGGGGCCCTTGGCGGCTGCCCGGCACCCTGTGCGCGCCCTTCGTCGGCCTGGAGGCCATGCTGGGCGCCGCCCAGACCTACCTGCTCGTGGCGCTCGCGCTGCACGCCAGGGCCGTGCCCGCGGACCCGGTGCCAAGTAAGCTTCCAGGCCGCCTCCACTGTCAGCCTCACAGCCAGACGCTCGCTGACGCCGTGCTCTTCTTCCCCAGGCCTGTCCGTTTGGCGGCACGTGTCCCGCTCCGCCGTGGTGCCGAGCGCGCTCGTGTGGATGCTGGCCTCCTCCGTGGCCGTGCCGCGCATCTTCCTGGCCGTGTCCGTGTGGCCAAGACCGTCGCTGCCGCTGTGCACTCTGCTGCCCACGTCACCCGCCACGGGCGCGCTCGAGGGCCCGCTCGACGTGGTGGAGGTGGAGGGCCCCGGCGTGTCCGGGTCGTGGTGGCCGCTGGCCGGGGCGTTGGCCGCGGACCGCCAGGGTGGGGGGCCGCTCCTCTCGGCCGTCGTGCTGTGCGCCGTGCCCGCGATCGTCCTGCTGACCACGACCTTGGCCACGGCCTTGTCCGCGTTGCGGGCCCGCCGGGGCGCTCGCTATCCCGGACACTCCGACGCTGACGACGGCGACGACGAGGGTCTGCGAAGTCTCTCGCTCGGGCCGAGACCAGCCTGTCCACCGCACAAACTAGCCAGGGTAGGAAGCGTCGAGCGTGCACATTCGCTGGGCGCGGACACTGGCACTTCCCTCTTCGCGCCCTGGCCCGCTGTCTCCGTTGCACTCGTATACATACTAAGCTCTCACGTAAGTGTTCCCCGCTCGTTCCAGAGGGAGTGGATCCGCGTGTCGTCCTGGCTGTCCTCCTCCTGGCTGCTGCTGTCGCTGCCCCGGCTGGCGAGTGCCGCCGTGCACGGCTTCCTGTCCCCTGGAGCCACCCCGGACGGCCCGTGGGCCTTCCGCGCCCCGCCGCTGGGCAGCCGCGCCCTGGACGACGTCTCGCTGCTCGCCGTCGCCATGCTGCACTACGCCCTGACCGCGGCCAGGCCCGTCGTCGCCGTCCTGGCCAGCCCCGCGCTTCGGCGTGCCGCCCTGGCGCTCGTGCAGGCCGGCCCCGCCGAGGAGCCCGGACCCGCACAGCAGCGGCGGGAGGAAGGGCAAGACGGTGACAACTCGCTCTGCTAATGGGATATAGAAACAGGATTTAACATTTTTGTAAATACAGAAAATAAAAATATTTTGCCTTTTATTCTAAATAATCACAAACAAATTTGGTCTTGAACGACGTTGGAATGACGTAATGGTGAGAAAGTATAGGGCTCAAATACAATCAAAATCAATAAAAAAATATTTCTACAAACTACGGTCAAAACATGACTGTTAAATAAGTACAAAGGTTGCTTGAGAAAATACATCAGAATATATAAACAAGAAACTTAACAAACTATGACCTTGAAACTACTTTAACGGGTGAGGACGATGGTATATTAATCTTTGATGGAGAAGATGGGATGTTCCTTTGGTTTTGGTTCTTTGCTAGAGCATCTGCAATTTTAGCTTCACAGTTTGAGAACTCAGCAGACATAAGGCTCAGATCCTGGTTCGCGTCTATTACTACAACCTAATTGAGTTGGAAGAGAAACAAATTTATATAAAACAATGAATGCTATAAAAAATAGGACGGAAATTGGGTACCAAAATAATCAGGTTCTACTTACTGGAGCAGGACATGAAAAAGAAGTGCGATGAAAGAGCCAATTTTCATGAAGTTGATGTAACTTTTCAAGATACTCAAGAGGTACACAGCTTTCTTCAGTTCTTGCTCTGGCCATCATTCTTTTATGGACAACCTCAGGTGAAGTTCGGAGGTAAACTATTTAAGTACAAAATCAATCCAATTACGACAAATTACAACTGAGTAATTGCATTTATTTTGCACCAAGATAAAGGAATACTCACTTATTAAATTACCAGAAATGTCATGATTTTTCACAATCCAATTGAACCACTCGTCAAGTGCTATGAAGTCTGGTTCAGGCATCAATCCACTCTGGTGAAGATTTTCAACAAAGCAATACCTGATTTAAAAACAACAAAAAGGTTCAGTTTAACCAGTCTGACATGAGCTTAGACACATCAATTCAAATGTTATGAAAGAGAACAACCTTGCACTAAAAATTGAACGTTCCATCATTTTAACTGGGCTCTCAACCGCTTTAGTGTGCAAATCTAACATTGTAAGTTGAACATATGTCTGGAATGTAATTCCCCAGCGAGATGGGTCAGTATACATCAAGTCCTGAAATAAAAATTATCACATTACCAAGAAAAGGGCTGAAGACTATGTATTAAAATGACAAACTTACCAGGAAGTTTTGCCCTCGTACGTTACGCCATCTATCAACTGGTTCAGTAAGAGTCACAATATTGTCAAGAGCGGCAAAATGTTTCAAAAATGTGGTTTTACCACTTCCAACATTTCCCTCAACAAAGACTGTGAAAGGTTTTGAGTTTTTGGAATCTCTTGCCATCTTGCTCAGACTTGCTGCAGACAGAAAGAGTAGTAATGTTCTCAGCGTGAAAGGAATGTTCCACAAAATTTATTAACAGGTTAAAGCTGGTTAGAACAAAGATGATTTTGATCTTATTCCATGGCATGACAGAAGCAAAATTGGGCAAAGATCAAGATGCATTCATCTACATTATAAGAACAAGGGCTAGTTAGAATGTCAGTGCCACTTTCTTTTGGATTCAAAATATTGTTCGAAAAGTTAACGGAAAACGGAGCAACGTACCTCTTCCACAGAAGGGTGAAGACAATCTGGCGCCAAAATTTATCAAGAGTTCGTTGCCTATTTGCACAAGTGAAGACCTCATGGACCTCATGATTTGTGATAACCTAAGAAAATCTAACAGCGACAGTAGTTTATTAACAGCACAGGTTTCTTAGAAAACATGACTCAGTATTGCACTTTTTAAAACAACTTAAGCAAAGGGTGCAACAAAGACAAAAACGCTTTTCCGCGGAAAGAGGGAATAACGAAAGATGCAGAAAACACGTTTGTTTTGTTTGGTCTTGTTGTTTAGTATACCGCTGCTATTTTGTTTTCTCATTTTTTCAGATTGGCCAACGCGTAGTTGAGGGATTAAATGTTTAAAACTCTACTATTCATGTACGCAGATCAAAATTCATATTGTTGGTGAAAATCTAATTTAAAATCACTAATTTAAGTTACTGATGAAAATCAGAAAATAATTTCACCTTGTACTTACTTCTAAGCATCAACCAGTCATGTTGCCTGACTGAAAACGTGTTGACAAACCAAACAGCACAGCAGCTGCAGCAGCCGATACTTACAGATGTGGCGAAATCAACAAATCATTTTTCTTAAAAGAAATGTAGACTTTTATTTCTTGGCGCAAACAAGATTTCTTACATCTGTCTTGTGCCATTTCATATTGGTCAACTGCATAATCTAGCAATGTAAGTACTTACCATACAGTTTTTCTTGAATTTGTTCTATTCTGATTTAGTAAGTAGCAAACAGGATGACATCTTATCAGGGCCCCCTCCTAACAACCAGATTGGTCCTAGTAGTGTGAAGTGTCATTTCATATGTCAGTCTGTAGTTTTACTATCAATCATTAGTCTGAAATGTAGGTACAAAAGTGCTCTGCTTTGATTATAGTCATTCATTTCATCCAGGCCATTGAACATGTTCATATGTTGACCTGGTTTCATATTGTTTTGCTGAAAATTTTATAGTGTTTTTTGTTACGTTTCTTACGTTTTGTACCCCCCAAAGAGTTTATTGAATATTAGTCGTTTCTATTTGCCAATCCTGCTTGATTGTAAGGTTAATTTATTCTGTAAATTATAATTTTACTTGTTTTATCTTTATATTCCTTTCTGTAGGAGCGAAAATGAAAACTTCATTAGCTGGAAGTCTTCAAGCTTATGTGTGTGCTCGTCCCCCAGCAGTGACATTCTTTTTAAGTGTGATAGGCATAACACTGGCAGTTTTACTTGTAGCCTTTAACATACAGAATATGGATGTAGCTTATGATTTGCGATTAAAAGAGGTAAATTTCCTATGGTGCATGCTCTTACAGATAATTTCTTGCGGCAGTTAGTGGTATCAATATTTTATCTACTTTTACTTAATTTCAGGATTGGATCAATTTGATGGATCATTTAAGTAAACAAAAACTGTGCACTAACATGTCTGAAAACAATCAGTCATCTCTTAGCACATCGACTGAAGTTGCAAGGCTATCCAATGCAACATTTTTACCTGTTAAAATTAAACACTTAAATGTTAACCAATTTTCATGGCTAGATTGGAAGAGTAAACCTATGGCATTTGTCGGTAACATCAGTTTAAAAGGTAACTTTTGATATATTTTCAATTTTTGGTCTCATTAGCTTTATATTATAAAAACATTTGCCTTCTTTGTCACCTCTACATATTTCAGGATTGAAGAAATCGTGTGATGCAGAGGTTAAAGAGAGTGAGAATGTGACCCTTATCCTTGTCATACCCTCTGCTGGAAGCGTTGATTCTTTGGATGATGTTACCTCTTGTGTACATTTTCTTGGACCATCTCATCTTTTCCTACCTACATCACTCACATCAGGAGTGCCAAGTTTTGTAACCAGTGAAATTTGCAGTCATTTAAACGTGAGGCATTTAACTATTTATTTATGGCATTGTCCTACAAATTTGTACTAAGCTTCTGCTTTTCACAGGTGTCAGAACAGGCTAGAAACTTTTATGTGCTTCAAGACCGAAGTGAAATGGGCCAAACAGAAGCAAAAACAAACAGCAAAGTTTGTAAAATTGAAGATACTATTACACTTTCATATGATCCTAAAATTTACAGACCACAAGTTCAGTTGACTGAGGCAAGACATTCCACTTTGAGCTATACAGAAATGTTCTTTATATCTCTTTTAACTCATTTAATCAACCTTTATTTTAAAAATCATTTTTCAGGCTGAGAAGTTGAAAATATTTTCAAACCTTATGCTAGGTGTTTACTTCCTGCTTGGATTTATTTGTGCATTATTATTGATTGCTATCCTTCAGGGCAGAAAACTTCTTATCACACCGAGGCACACACTCCTCCCATCAAAGGTACGTCCACAAGTTATGTTGATCCAGTTTTTGTGTTTTTTTGTTGTTGTTTTTTTTTGCTACAAGGTAATAATGTATTTCATCTCATTTGACAGGAAACATTATAGTTTTGTTTCATTCCTGTGGGTGTGGGTCCAGCTGGTCTATCCTTATGGGTGGTTCATGGACTGCAATTATTGTAAGTTTGCTATATTCCATGCAACTGTTCAGTGAAATGGAACTGAAGTGACAGGCGTTTTAGTTTAGGGAAATATGAAAAAGTATCAGAGACCTTGGAGGGATTTATTTATATTTTTCCACTATTTACAAATATTTATGTAACACTTTACAACATTTTACTTTCAACAGAGAGTAGAATAAAAAGATATTTAACACCATATTTACATGGAATATTGGACATCTTCAAGTGCTAAAAATTTGTGCTATGTTATGTGGACTTGGAAATAACTTTGTATTTCTGTAAACAAGTATGTCTGCTTTGAGGAAAATATAGTTTAGTTTTATGATTCATAATGACAGCTTTCTTGTGCAATCACAACTCTTTTCCATCTACTTCCTTCACATTGGATCTTTAATTCAGAGAAGTGAGACGATGAAGTAAATAGACGGCTGCCCTCACCATATAAATTATTGCACATTCATTGCAAATGCACAGTTTTATAAAAGACTAGCAGAATCTTAATACAAATTTCTAGAACACTTCTTATTTTGAATAAATTAATGTATTCAATTTTAGTTGATGTTAATATATTTGAAGGAATCTGGAAGAGCAATAGACAGGCACTTTTCACAATGTCAGCAGCAATTTTATACTCTCTATCGGCTACAAAATATTTCAATTTTCTTATGTAAAGCAAGTGCATATGTTTCCTTATTTACTAAAGGTTTGCTCACTGCAAGAGTGGGTTTCATTACTGCATGCTAGGGCATATGCATTCAATTGGCTCCAATATTTCAGGGTCTTTTATAATTATCTATCACAGCCATTGTTGTTCTGAAATATTTGGGTCTCTGCAGCACATCAGAAACTTCTGCTACTCCTGGGGAGCCCAGTGAGATTCTATGGGCATCGAACTATACCAAAGTACTTTTTTTTCTTGTCTGCTCCCACAGTGAATTTCAAATTTATGGCCACCTCATTGCTTACTTTTTATACATTCTCAGCTATGGTATTTACTGCATATTAACTGCAAGTTCCTTTAATTTCTTTATTAAAAAACAGTTTATTGTTGTTTCTTTCTTGTTGATGTAATAGCAACTGTATCAAAGTGAACTCCCTGATAAAAAGAATTGGTGATTGTCAAACAACAAAATAATCAGTAAGAGCTTTAAACAACACATGGAAGTCATATTTCCTACTGTAGTGTTGATGGAAGACAAACCATGACGTCTGCTGAAGCTATTTTGATCGGTGCTCTTTACATCATATAACAGAGACCTCTGAATTAATTTACAAAGTTCTTGATACCAATAGAAAAAGAGAACATTCAGGCAACTTGGAAAATATTATCCTCTCATAGTCTGTACAGAGCAGAAGCTGCAGTGTTGCGTGTTTGCCCACTCCCTCCGCCCCTGTGGCCAAAGAGGGTAAGCCAACCCGCAACATTGCAGAGTCTGCTGTAATACAACCGGTACATTTTCATAGGATGGGTCCAGATATGTATTATTTTTCTCCTTTCATTTGATTTTTTAAAATGTTTGGACAATAGTCAGTTAGCATGAAAGGAATCTTCAACTGTGTTCTCTTATAAGGTAACCCAGTGAGAAACAAGATCAAATCAACACATTTTTCAATGAAATTTTGATGATTATTTCTGACTTTAAACTGTCACCAGGATATACTATGTCACCTATCAGATTACACCTAACAATAATAAATATAAATTTGTAACTTGCTGCTACATATTCACCTTGGGTTATTTCTGACAACAGTGAAAATATATGAATAATAATACTATTGTTTTAAGTCGATGCTTTTCATGACAACCATCATAATATAACAACTTACTAGAGTAGTTCTGGATCCCAGCCAGACATATCAAAACTCAGGATTAAATTTTCAGTGCTATAATGGTAAAAATGTGATCCCTACAAAATTTCAGGAAAGCTTAAGGAAACAAATACTTTACATCATTAGATTGTGATTAAAGAGAGAACTACGGTATACATTTCAGTTCAAATTTAGAATATTTCCCTTGTATAAAAAGAGCACCTAAATGATTGTACTTTGAATAAGGTTGAATAATTGACTATTACATCATTTACTAGAAGGAATCATATAAAGCCCCTAAAACCTCAAGATAGTAGCTTTATGAATGAAAAGTGAGGTGGATAGCAAATGTGCATCTTCCAATAATATCAATGAGTATAATTTTGAATTTAAATGGGATTGACATACATAAAGGAGTTGTTGGTAACCATGAGGAATTATTTCATTCGCTTGCCACAATCAAAACATAAATATCCTACCTGGACCTAGCCATCTTGTAGTTTTTTTACAAATGGGAGGAAACAATTAAGTTTACTCTTTAATTAAGGTATGAAAGGAGAACATAGAGAAGCCTGACTTAATTTTTTCAGCTGAACAGCATATTCACAGCCAGAATGAGACCTGCTACAGAATAACCAATCTTTAGTGCAGAGCCTGCTGCACTTGATGGGTCTTGAGGTTCTCTACCTATTAATCTCACATATGCTTAAGCTAATCATTCCATGCATTTCATGATTTCTAGAATTTTCACAGCGGGGAGCAAGCATGTTGCTGAAGATATAAGATCCACCTCGACCTTTTGTCTCACAAAGAAGACACGCATCACATTTTTTTTTCTGAATGGAATCATATTTGTTTCCATTTTGTACCAGTACAGAAGATACAGTCATTCACTCAGACACCTGAGTTAGGTGGAAGAGTTGAGGCTGAACTCACAACCACCATGGTTGGTTTGACCACGGCACCAAGATATTGAGGGTTTACAATTGGCATGGTCTTGATCAAGGGTGCCATCTGTGAGGAAAACAGAAATACAAATTAAGCATCATTTTGGAAAAAGGTTTCATGAAAATTTCATGGTGGTAAGTGCTCACCTTGCCCATATTCTTTGCAGCAAGGATGTGTGTTACAGGGCTGCCTTGCGACATGACGGTGACCGGGGTGACCAGGGGTGAGAGGGAGGGGGCCGACACGACGTGGGCCACGTGCCCGCCGGGTAGGGATGCCGATCCTGGGTGCACCGCCGTGGCGAGGAGATGTCCGTTCGCTTCTGCGGAAGAACAGAAAAACAATGTAATTTTCATCACCCGAGTGAAACAATGCCTCCCCTATCGGTCGCCTTACGAGTGCCGGGTAGGCAGCCCGCCGCATGCGCGTGTGCGGCGGGCTGGCCTATTCGTGGCTCCAGCCCGAGCCCACGCACCACCACCCCAACCCCACGCCCACGTCTTCAAGCAGGCTGCCCTTACCGTTGGGCAGCTGCATCCCCTTGGTGAGCACGCCCACGTCCGTGGTCGGTCTGATGCCGTCTGGGGAGGCCGAGCCGGCCTTGTGGTAGCCCTCGCCCAGGACGGTGCCCGTCGCGCCCACCAGCACCTTGTTGGCGTGCATGGCGTGCACCGCGGGCATCGTGACGGCGGCCGTTGCTGTCGAGACGGCCGCCGAGGTGCCGATCGTGCCGATCGAGTGGGGTGGCCCTGCCGGCGCAGCCCGGATCCGCTGATGCGTCACCAGAGGGGTGGTGCCGTTGCCTGGAGACAGAGCCACCCACGCTTAGAGCCGCTTCCGTCACGTCGCACGCCGGAATATAGACGAGTTTTTAATTTAGAGATGGCTCGGCTCTCGAGCTCCGAGCGCTCAGCACTGCAGTTCTGCACGCCGCGGCCCGCCCCGTGGCCGCCTCGGCTGCGAACCCGACGAACCCAGCCTGTACTTGTCGTACTACTTACTCGTGGCGGGGTGCTGCACCAGGATGCTCGGGTCCAGGAGCCTCTGCGCCGGGGGCGCGGCGAGCTGCAGGATGGCGGGGCTCACTCCGAGCCAGCGACCGTTGTTCACGACCTTTTGGGCAAAAGAGCTGCGTCAGTCTACACCTCAAAATGCCTACTAAGGACCCTCCTCGGTCGTAAAGGTCGTGTCGGGTTCAAAAAAACAAACAAAATGGAAACACACGACAAGAACAAGCCATCGGGAAATTGCCCCCGATCGGGTCTTACCTGCGCGGGCACGGGCAGCTGGATGTGGTGGGAGGTGAGCGCCAGCGGCTGCAGCACGGTCCCGGGGCTGCTGGCGGGGGGGCTGACGGGGGCGGGGGGGCTGGTCCGGTGTGGCGGGGACGCTCGGCTCCTGGGCGGCGCCGGGGGGTGGTGGGTGGTGAGGGTGCCCACCGGCGAGCTCGGCACCCTTGCCGCCACGCCCACGCGGGAGGGCGCGCCGGGCGCGGGCGGGCTGGAGGAGGAGGAGGACGACACGTGCGGGGAGGCGTGCGCGGACGCGGGCGACGCCACCTTGATGCTGTAGTGGTGCACCAGCTTGGCGGGCACGTAGCCGCTGGACGGCGCGGAGACACCGCGGCCCTCCTGCAGGGGCAGAGCACGGCGTGCATTAAGTCACCGCAACCCGCTGCTGCTGGGACCCTGCAGTGGCCAACGACGCTGTACTCACCGAGCCGGCCGCCTTGTACAAGCTCGTGTCCGAGTAGTGCCCGTTCACCAGCACCCCGGGAGCCGCCCTCGGCACCGGCCGCAGGGGGAACACGGGCGACGCGGTGCGCTGCGGAGCAAAGATAACGGTCGACGTGAATTACGCGTGAACTGAGCGCCTGAGCCACACCGCTCGCACCATACATTCTGCGACGGGTACTCACTGGTCTCGGGCTGCCGGGCGACCGCGCGCGGGCCTGCAGCGGAGCCTGCTGGGGCAGCTGCGGGCTCTCCCCGCGGTAGCCGTGCACGTCCCGGAGGTTGGGGGGCGCCACCACCGGCGCCGCGCTCGGCGCGAGGGGCTGGGGCGGCGGCCCGCTCGGGTTACTGTAGGCAGGCATGGCACTGCTGCTGTCCGAGGCGCTCCTCTGACGCCCGCTGTGGAACGACATGGTGTCGTCGTCGTCGTCGACGTCGTCATCCTCGTCGATGATCATGCCGCCCTCCAGCTCGGCCGAGGCCGTCGACGTGGACGTGGGCGAGGGCAGGCGCACCCGAGAGCTCATCTCCCCGTTGGGCGCGTCCACGCAGTCCGGGTAGAGCGCGTTGATGTCCAGGTGGTCCCACTGCGCGGCCAGGTCCTTCTTGAGGGAGGCCAGCCGCTGCTGCGCCGAGATCTTCTCGCGCGCCAGCCGCTCCATCTCGTGCTCGTAGTCGCGCTCCTTCCGCCGCAGGGACTGGATGTAGCGGATGGCTGCGTGCAGGATGGAGAGGTTCGAGCACTTCTTCTCCTCCTGGCAGGTGGGCAGCTGGCGCTTGAGCATGTCGAAGCACTCCTTGAGGTGTGCTCGCCTGTTCTTCTCCAGCTTGTTGTGCACCTCCCGCGTGCCGGACCTGGACGGGCATAGAAGACACACGGTTAACAGTGTTTACATCGGGAGCAGCAACACCGCAGCGGAGTGAAGTCAGCCGCACTCACCCCGTCCGCCGCCTGGAATCCTGGCCGAGGAGGTCGTCATCCTGGCTGCCGTTGGTGGGGCTGTCCGGGGCCTCGAGTGACACCGGCGCGGGGGCGGGCGCCCCCGGCTGAGGCGAGAACTGGGGTGGCGGTGGCGGGGAGCCCTGCGGCACGACGGGGACCGGCCGGACGACGGGGAGGTGCGGCGGGTGGGCCGAGGGGGCCGGGAGAGGCAGTGGGGGAGGGCTCAGGTGAGG